TTCGGGAAGCTTCGGGGAACCAACACCTCGTATGCCGAAGCTATGAATGACAAGAAGTTGGAAAGCTACCTGACTTGGTGTCTTCTGACTTTGCAGCCTACCTCGCTGCCTATGACTTGGTGAATGTCTCAGGAGGCTCTTCGGGATGCTATACAGGGACGAGCACCCGGCGGGTCTTGAAGCAGTGAGATGGTAAGCTATGAAGTGTGGGTCTCAAGCAGATCCTGGTATTTGTTGGATGGGGTGCATAGCAGCAGCTGCCGGTTTGAATGGTTGGAAGGCGATGGATGCATCTCTGTCCGGCTACATATATGTATGTACAGACTTCATACTGTGCTTCGTTCCGTGTGGAAATTACCCATTTGAGATGGTTTTTGGTGAGGATCGAGGTGCAGCCTGGACACAATGGTTGCAAAGCACACTGTCAAAAGGGGGTGTGAAAGTGTGCTCCTCCGTCCCTCCTGTGACACTGCGCTTTGCTTTTGACCAGCGGTCTTTGAGCTTCGCGGTTTTGGCCAGCAGTCTTCGACCTTTGCTTTTGAGTGTGACCTTTGGTCATTGGACCTTGAGTTTGAGACTCTGGCCTACGAAGCCAAGTCACTGGACTGAGAGGGTTTAGTGACTCCTTTTTGAGAATGAGTTGAGCCACACCACGATAGTTGACAAACTTCTTTTGAAAGGAAGCTAGCTTGTACGACTCAAGAGTCAAAGCAGAGCTTTTTGTGCGTAGGACACTTTGTGGCTTTGCATTTCGGTTTGCACTTTTCCAACTTTGTGCTACCATGTTTTCCTGGTTCAAGGAAGACGGCTCAAATGTAAGAAGACAGTACACACATGTACAAGAGAACAGTTGAAGTCACCTTCCTTCGGGTGTGTGTGTGGAAAAAGAGTTCAGAGCGAGTGAATTTGGTTTCGCTGAGTGTTTTCCACTTTGTTGCAGTTTGTTTGCACGAACGTGGTAGTAAGCAACGTGCTTGAGCGTTTGTACTCGTTTAGAGGTTTGCTCGAGGTGAGTATAAAGGTTGCGCTTCCGCAATAAAGGTTGTGAGGTTGCACGCGTGCACGTACGTCTCGTGGAGGTTAGGTCTGTTGTGCTTCCGCACTGTACAGCTCACAAGGGCGCGAAGATCGGTCAGTTGCAACACCTCTCACGTTAACCACCTTCGCCGGACAAGAAATACGGCTATCGATCGACCTGAAAGAATCTGACAGACTTCCTGAGTTTGAAAATGCAGTTTTGAACCAGCTCCCCTCCATTGGGGACAACAGCACCTTTGGTTGTGAGCTGCAATTTGTTCACAAGGGCGCCCAAGAAGTGCTGGCTGACCCCATTTGGGACACCTTGTGCGACAATCACTGTTTTAACGCAATTGCCCGACAGTGTTTTGTAGATGCGCTTCACAAAGGGCATCTCAAGGGCGGAGCGAAAGCCATAAGAGTTCCAAGTAGCACCACTGACCGAATATTGCCACAAGCCTTCTCGTTCGACACGCAAATCAGGCATGTTCATGCAGAAGCAGGCATTCGGGCTGTAGGGGAGGCTGCCTGGAGGAGCTGTCAGCGACTGCAGGTGGTGCACTTGCCGAGCACAGTTGTCTGCCTGCAACATGGAGTCTTTCGGAGGTGTTACCTCTCAAAGCCGTCTTAGCCCCACAATGCAGGCAATTCGGAATCAAGGTATTTGAAGGATGCTGCTCGCTCACGCAAATTGGGACAACTAGTCACACAACTAACCAGTTAGCCCCACAAGCGCAACTACGGCCTGAGCCTTTGAGAAATGCGCAGCCTTGCGTGACATCAGTCTGGAAAGGACAGAGCATGACCCCACCAACCCAGAACGGAGCCTGCCTGAATGTTGTTTCCTGGAAGCCGGCATAGTTTCGCTCTCTCTCTCCCACCAGATTTCACGTGGGTGGGGCCTGCTGCCTGTGAACGCTGTAAACGGCTCCAGGTTGTTGACCTGTCCCGCACGGACATTGTTGAAATCCTGGGGTCTACCTTCGCACACTGCTCGCAGCTGCAAACGCTCAACCTCTCCAGCAAATTGAGACGAATAGAGCAAGAAGCATTCCTTCACTGTGTATCACTAAGAGAGGTTTACATCCCAGTCACTATGCTCTACATTGCTCGACGCGCGTTCGCTGGTTGCACGCAACTTCGCACCTTCAGCAAAGCAGGGAAAAGCACGACTTGGAGGGGGACACACGCTCGAGTCAATGCTTTTGACAAATGCGACCTTTTGGAAAAGCCTTCGTGGCTTCGCTTCCTGCCGCCACTGCGAAAAGGGACTTTTCCTTGGCCAGCCTGGCACTGCAACAACTGACTTCCTTTGGCAAGAATCAGTACTGCTGACAGTCATGATGAGCCCCTGGCTAAAAGCTGCTTTTCCTCTGACTGCCACTCGATGCAGTGGCCATGTGGTCACATTTTGATGATAGAACGAAGCCACATTTGAATGGTTTCGCTGCTCTTCGCTCACGCACAGATGCACTTGGCAGACTTCGTAGCGAATTCAGGCCCTTAGATAGTATGCAGCCAACTTTTCTCACTTCAAGACTTGTCTCACCTCCGTACAGAGGAAACACTGTCTGCTATGATGGGGAATCGGCCTCTGGCCTTGCTGTTTTTTGGTTGTGTTTGTGTTGTTGCTTTGTTTGTTTTGGTTTGGGTTTTTTCTGGTGCTTTATTCCCCATCATCATGTTGTGTTTCCTTTCCTTGCAACGATGACCTGGGCACCCCGCCCACATGGCGTCCGTACTCGTGGAAAAAAAGTGGCTTCGCTTCCTGCCGCCCAATGCTAAAGACAGCTGGAGAGAGGACTTCATTGAAGCAGTGCGCTCGGGCCCATAGCTCAGTGGCCATACTGTCTCAACTAAAAAGTCCCTCCCCAATGGCTTGAGCGAAAGTCGGCCCTCGCCGAGCAAGTGATCTTCATCTATCCTTCATCGCCTGCAGTTTTGTGAGCCTACCGGGGTGAGAGCCAGCTCCTTGTCCCGGGACGGCGGGTGGTAGCAGAGCGGTTGATGGAAGGCGCCCAGGGAGAACCTTAGTTGCTCGTCTGCGGCAGCCGAACCACAGCCAGTCTTGTACAAAGATGGCACAAGTACCATGCTAGGGTAGGTCCACGTTTCACCTGTTTCACACGGGCCTTGCACGCAGTGGGATAGTGTCTGCAGTTTCGCCTTCGTTGCAACGCTCTCCACTGCCACACTCGAGACTAGCCTCCGCTCTTCGTAAGTGCATTCAATTGGACAGTTTGTGCCACGGAGACACGGCTTGCCATGCCTTGCAACTAATGACTCACTGGGCATGCGTCACTGTCACTGCCGACCTTTTGCTCATGGCGCTTCGTAGGATGCAAACACACGCCAAGTGCCAGACACCACAATGGCAGGGGCAACCATACCCTTGCCGACAGATTTAGGCCACATTTGATTAGCAGCCACTCACATCTAGGTGCATTTTGCCTTTCGTAGCATTCAGGCCCTTAGTCTTTTGGTATTTCATCTTCTCACCTGTTTCACATCCGTACAGAAGAAACACTACTGACATTGATGGGATCGGCCTGTTGTGGCCTTGTGTTGCGTTGTTTTTGTTTTGGTGTTTGGTTTTTGTTTTGGCTTGTGTTCCTTTCCCATCAATAAGTTATGTTTCCTTTTCTTCAATGATGACCTGGGCATGCCGCCCACATGGCGTCCGCACTCGTGGAAAAAAAACATTGAAGGTCCTACTGCTTCCTTGATTAGGTGGCAGAAGGTTGATCCATCCTGGCAAGTGCAACTTGTCACACAATTCGAAGGTGTCTCTTTCTACATAGGGTCCTCTCCATGTGGCTTTGTCTTTCATTTTGATGAGCCGACTTGTGTACATCCTAAGACGGTGAGCAATGTAGATTAGGGCGGGCGGGGTGCACACTTCATGCAGCGAGGAGCACTGCAGGAAGGCTTCTTGGCCTATGCGTCGTAACTTCTGTGGGAAGCAGAGTTGCTTCAAGTGCGAACAGTGCGCAAAGGTCGACCCCCATATAGCAGTTATATCGGCGCCCAAGAGATCAACTCTCTGGCCTAAACCAGCGTCCGCGTCGTAGGTTGGAAGTGCTGGGGAGGCCCTTTTTGGCGAGACCGGTTTTTGCTGTGGTTTTTGGACCCCAAACTGGTGCCCAGAAAAATCACTTTTTTCCATCCCTTGGGAGCAAAAAGTTGGGAAAACCAGTGAGATTTGAGAATTGCTGGGGAGAAAGCGTTTGGCGTGTATGATAACAAGCTTACAGATCAATGGTCAGCTGCTTTTTTCAGGGCCAGATTTGACCTAAAGGGTCGAGCCTCCTTCAAATTGCCCACCGCCCACACCAAGAGTTAAGCGGAGATGAGCTGGGAGATGAGCTCGTCCGTCGAAAAAGAGCGTTGCTTGGCTTTGAGCTGTGTCATGACACCAAACACGACAGTGACAGCTAGAGGCAGAGAACGAAGAAGATAACCGCAACTTGTGGCCCCAAAAAAAGGGCCTCGGGTCGTTCAACGACAGTTGGATCTAGTTTCATGGGTTGCCTATGACAAAAAGACTCGACCACTTGTATTACTGAAGGAACATAAACTTTTAGGCATGAGCAAATTTTACATACAAAGCCGACCGTAGGTGTGACCGCCAGTGTGTTGGCTTAACCAGTTACTTCCAGTCTCCAGTCCCTGGTTAAACTTGGTCGTGCAAAAACGGGTTGTGTTATCCAAATTTTGTAGACACAGTGGCACAGATAAAATAGCGTTAACATCTATGCTGCAATCCCAGGTTAGACATTTTCATCAAACCGTTTGTTCGCAGTTGTGGTTATAGGCGCATGAAATGTTCGATGATTCTGCATGAAACCTTTTTCAAGCTGCCTAAGAAGCAAAACACATCAGAATCAGACCAACACAATCGTTATGTGAAGATTGGGTTGCAACGATTGGCATGTTGGAAGTGGAAATTATGTTCCAACAAAGTTTGTAGTATTTTGCATCTCATTTTGTAGTTCCAAGCTGGTCGTGGCGCACGAATGGATTGGCAGTTGCGAGACCAGTTGCAATGCTTGGATAGCAACACGTCTTGTGTGGGAGCGAGCTTCAAAAATAAAATAACGGTGCTGAGACTACATCTTTCGCAGTGAAAATTCAAGAAAACTGGGGAGACATGGTGAAGACGGCGCAAGATCTTAAGCAACTCGGGTTGCCCTTCCGCCCTTCAGGCGATCTTTCTGCTCTTTTACGTCCGCGAGCACAGCCTTCAATCAAGACCGATCAAAGGCGATTGGCTGTGATTGTCCGTCAGAAAGTCATTCAAACAAGGCTTGAGGGGCAGTTGGGACTTTTGTGCGGTTTTATCCACAATTTGATTGGCCATCGCTAGTAGGTTGGAGGAGCTTGCTAATAGGTTGCTATTAGGTTGAAGGCCATCGCTGTTTGGTTTTCCTTCTTCCGCAAACAGTCTACTGTGGGGGTTCTCTTTTGGGAAAAAGGGGCTGGCCACGATATCCGATAGCCGTTGCTGCGCCGTCCGCCCTTTCTCCACCGCCTTGTGCAGGCCTTGTCTAGGTCACCGGGTCTGTCTGTCCTGCTTGTCCACGTTGTCATCCCTCTTCTCACCGCTTAGTCCAGGCCTTGTCCCCTGCTAGGCCACCGCCCTTTTCCTTTTCTCAAGGAATTGACGCAAGAAAGTCACCCTGAAACTGTTTGGGGTCTGTGGTGCTAGTAGCGTCTGTGCTCCTAGTAGCGATGCCAGGAGCCCCTAGTAGCGTACTTCAAGTACAAGAGGAGCTGCCTTTGTGCGCGCTTTGTGCCTATATGCTCGAGTCCCTGCCATGGTGCTGCCCACGAATATCTTTTGCTATGTTGGGACTGTGCTGACGTACTTCTACTAAAACAAGGACGCTACCAGGGGCTCCTGGCATCGCTACTTAACAAGTGCTCATGTCGTTCTTTCACGAGGAGATGTCCCAGCTGCGTCCGGCCTTTGCGCCCACTGCGGATCCAGGTGAGCCTTCAAACGTACATAGAAACCACAGCTAGAGGGACAAGACTTTGGTGATGGTTTGAGTGTGGCATTTTAGCTACCAACCAAATTGGCTTGTGCAACACAGTTTGCTGGCATTGTCATATGCTGGCTGCAATTGAACGTCATTGGAGCAATGCAGTCAAGGTCTTGGGGCAGTGCATCAAGTCTCTGGGAACGCGGACCTTCAACTGTTCCACAGGTTGGGTGTGTGGAGAGTTCTCGCTCTCTTTATCGTGCCTTTAACTCCCATGTCCAGTGGGGCCACTATCTTTGGCTTTAAGAAGTTATGATTTCTTGTGCTGGGATTTCGTTTTGATTGAACGCAGATGCTCCTGCGCTTTGCCAAGGCCTCAACCGTTTGCAGCGCCGGGACTTGGCAGAGCTGCTCAGCGCTTGCACGGTGGAGGAGTCAACATATCACGAAACAAGCACAATAAGTTATTCTTTGTGTGTGTTTCTCTCGATTCTCATGTGCTTTTCCTTCTCTGAACGTTTTGATTGCAGCTTTCAACGTTAGCTATTCGTCCCTTTTCCTTGCTTTTGTGAGGATCCATCAGTGGAAGAACTTCGTGCTGCACTGCAGGTTTTGCCCTGGACGACGAAGAATGCGGTAACCTGGCATTCGTCCGTTTCGGATACCTTCCTCATTCCTTCTGAGACCTGTTCAATCCATCCTCAAGCATTAAGCCGAACGGTTTCTCGGACTACTTTCCTCGTTTCTGCGTTCGAGTGTTTGTGATCTTTTTTGTCCCCGGGCTTTTTAGGGTTTTCTTTTGGACTTGTGCTGAGGCTACGATGCTACTCCCAGCAGCTGTACCTCCAGACTCTCGCGCAGTGATGCTGCTCACAGGTCGTGGAGCAGAGCCTTCCATTGACAAGGCAGTGGAATGTGTATTGAGATTGAAGGCCAGTCGACATCTGATGTTCAGTGTCCTGTGGAAGCCATTGCTTGTATTCTAGATATTCTTTACCATCAGACATCTGAAGCTGAGCGACACAATCTGCACCCGATCAAGCAGATGAACTTGTTCTAAACAGCTGCAGAACCTGACCAGGAAGGATGCACCTTCTGTCAAGGGCTTGTGCGCGAGGAAGCACAGCTCTGCAAGGCAGCTGCGAGGTTGTTCGGCGACCGCAGCGCAAGCTATCGCTAGTGCACTGTCAGAACCGCTCTGCCCTGACAAACCAAAGAGTGCCGCCATCAGCCTGAATGACGCAACAACTCACATACTATCCAAAGAAGTGAGGGTGCTAAATCTATGTTGAGCTTGTTCTTTCCAAAAAGTAATACAACTATATATATATATAGATAAATAAACAAACAAATAGACAACAGACATTCCTGGCACTCTGGCGGAAAAAAGGGGAATGGCACTCCCAAATGTCAGTTCAGCCTAATAGCAATGGCCTCCACCCTACTAGCCATGGCGTCCACTCTAGCGATGGCCTCCACCCTAGTAGCCATGACCGTGCACCCTAGTAGCGATGGCCTCCACCCTACTAGCCATGGCATCCAGCCTAGCAGCGATTGGCTTCCACCCTAGTAGCAATGGCCGTCTACCCTAGTAGCAATGGCCTCCATCCACCCCACTAGCCACAGCGTCCACCCTTGGCCTCCACCCTATTAGCAATGGCCTCCACCTTACTAGCCATGGTGTCCACCCTACTAGGGATGGCCTCCACCCTAGTAGCCATGGCCGTCCACCCTAGTAGTGATGGCCTCCACCTTAGTATCAATGGCCGTCCACCCTAGTAGCGATGGCCTCCACCCTAGTAGCAATGCCGTCCACCCTAGTAGCGATGGCCTCCACCCTAGTAGCGATGGCCTCCACCCTAGTAGCTATGGCCGTCCACCCTAGTAGCGATGGCCTGCACCCTAGTAGCGATGGCCTCCACCCTATTACAGTAGCAATGGCCTCCACCCTAGTAGCCATGGCCGTCCACCCTAGTAGCGATGGCCTTCACCCTAGTAGCGATGGCCTCCAACAGTCAGCCACGGAAATAAGGGTCAAATGTGATATATATATTTTGTTTTTGTGTTGCTATCCAATAATCTTCAAGGACGGGGTTTATGATGCCTTGTGAAGAGGACTCTCTTGGCTAGACTCTAATCAACAGTAGTTCTTTCAAAATCATGAGCACAAGGCTGTTGTTTTTCATCTAGGTTTAGGTTAGAAGCAGGAGGTGAATCCAGAAATCCAAATCCTTGCTGTCCGTTAATTATTGAAGCTAGACGCCTTATAAATTAAGGACAGCAGATTTCTGATCCATTTTGACAACGCAGAAACGCTCTCCAAAGGGGCGTGCTGGTTTCATGCGTGTTCATTCGAGTAAAAAGGTTTGGAGCACATGCACCTTGGGGAGCAAATCACACTTTCATCCATCCAATTCACAACAGAATCATCAAAGGAATTGAGATTGCATATATTAGGTTACACTTCATGAGTGAACTTGCATCATTTATACATAGGGCCATAGGGGTGCTTCGGATTATATTCATCGTGCAATTTGTTGCAGCAAAACGCTCATTTTAGCGCTGCCCATGGTAAAGTCCGAAACACATGTCAATTCTGTAAGAAAAGGTTGGAGACCGTCAAAACCCAAAGCATCCTTAAGATAGGTTGGCTCATTGTTGATTCAGGCAATATGACACTTCTGTCGCATGTCTTGTTCCTTTGACACCGGGAACCTTCCAAATAGCGTCCGACAAATGGTTTGAGTTTCAATATATACTGCGACATTCTTGCAGGATGTTCTAGACCATGCCACTGCTGCTTTTAACGGAGTTGTGACGTTCTTTTCTAAACTAAACCTTGAAGGATGCAAAGTCGTGCTAACGCTGTTTGAGTCGAAACATGGCAGGCTTTGCTGACATTAGCTGCACAACTGTTGAGTTGGTCGGCAGGCCGGGTTGAACGGTGTGATATCATCTATGCATTTTGGATTGTTTCGATCTTTGAAGTTCGTAAGCTTGAAACACACATTTGTTGTGGAAAGAGTTTTGAAACGTGAAACTACGGGTCACTACAAGCGTTTTACATTCGGCTCTTCTCAAACGGGTTGCATCGGAAGAACTCGCCGTTTGAGGTTTGGAAGAACTGAAGCGGAAGAACTTTGCAGCTGTGGTGCCTTGGCTGAAGACTTGAAAGGTGCCGAAAGCTTGACATTTGACTGTGACTTGTTGGTCTTGTTAATTCTTTGTGCATATTTGAAGAGGTGCTGGATTGCTGCCGCTCAGCCACCTTCTGTGATGATGTGGCAGTCTTTTGTGCAGACCTCGAACAGATGCAGTGGATGGAACTCTCAGATGCTTGGATTTTGAAATGATTTAAAATTTAAACGACAATTGAGTGCTAGCTTGGTCACCTATGGCTACACCTTCCTTTCGTTTTCTTTGGACCTCTCTTTTTCATGTTTCTTTTTCTTTGTTTTCTTTGTATTAGTTTCCTTGAGAGACAGCCTTGACTTGCACCACTTGCTGGTCACTCCGATGTGGTCTTCAAGGACTTCTCCTCACCACTTTCAGTGCAGCGCCTTCCGCCAAAGGACAGGGCATATCCACGTCTCCTTTAGAACGGCATGGAACGCATGAAACATATGATGGAGCACATCACACTTTCTCTGGGTTCTATTAATTCTATGTTGTAGACCTATCCTGGAGTCTATCCTACTCCCTACGCGAGGAGGTGGTGTCCAACACGCGGGACCAGAGCTTGAAGCGTGCATTGCAGCAGGACTGCCTTCACGTACGTAAATTCGGAAAGCCAGCCGAGAAATTGGTGCCCCCTTCGGATATATGCAATTTTGCGTTCTTTCCAACTTGTTTCCAACTTTTCACCAAGACTTTCTCCCGGCACGTTTTGACGCACATGGCTGCTGGAACAAGCTTCTCCTACCCCGTTGAACTGATGACTGATGTTCGCTGACGCTTCGGCTGCGAACGATTGGGTGTTAGGATGTCTATCTCGAAGAGAAGAAGGCAAAGGGCGTTACTAGGGGCTCCTGGCCTCGCTACTAGGAGCAAGGACGCTACTAGGGGCTCCTGGCCTGAGAGCATATTGCAGTGCGGCGAAGTGACCTGTGCAGTCAGTACACGACACTTTCTACAATGACTTCCGCTATCAGATCATCACTTCACCATAGCTGTGCCGGCTTCTCCCGGGCAAGTCTCCAAGCCAAGTTTGAGGCACTTCAGCAGCTGCAAAGCCTTCTGGCTTCAGGGCATGACGATGAGAGCACTCCTCTGAGAAAAGCCTTAGCTGAGGATTGTTTGCTGAACGGGGGTCCACGAAAAGCATGTTCTTCTGAGGCCTTCGGAAGCTGGAGCAACTCCTTCTAGCCAGTTTGAGGCACCCATAGTGAAGCTGTGTTGCTTCTTGCTCTGGTACCTGTGCAACAGCGAGGGGGAGCAATACCCTAGCGGAAGTCTGCTGACACCTACCCCAGAGCATGACCACTTCTTTGGACAGTCGAAAAGTCGATATCAAAATCTTTTGTCGTTAGCACCATGATCTACCAGCACTGGCCTCCAAGCCAATAGCAAACCCAAGAGTCGTAGAATATTTAACTCTTTGACCTTGGGAACCGTGCCGAGGGAAGCAGAGAAGGAGATGCGCCGCTTGACAGATCTCATGTTTGGGAGGAATATTGGGAATGGTGATTGCATTCTGAGGTGATACTGCAGTGGATTCGCAAGTGCACTGGCCAAGTCCACAGGAGAGGCTTAGTCTGATTTGGGAGTTTCTGGTGGGATATGTGCCTTCCCCTAGAAGTGGGCGAGGGGTTCCCGGGTGTTTCCTAACAACGTGCATCATGATTTGCTGAGTGCACAAAAACATGGAATTGGCATGTAGCATCAAGGAAGAAGGACGGATTTTTGCAAGTAACTGCCTATCAGGAGCTAGGCGATCGCTGGCGTTGGTTGATAGAAGATGCTAAGTTAATAAGGACACTTTTGGTCATCTTGAGGGTGCGTTACCCAACAGGCCCAGGAATGAATGATCAAGTCTTATTCAGGTTCCAAAGGCCTGCTGTGAGCAAACTTTCAATGGTTGTGTGTCGTCCAAGAATTGAGCAGCACCCAAACTGAACTGAGGACATGGACGCTGCCGACGGAGAGACAGGAAACGACTCTTTGCAGAAATGTACTATGCTTCCCACCCTTACTAGGAACAAAGGGCATCCCTACTAGGAGCAAGAAGCTACTAGGGGCGCTGCTGGCATCGCTACTAGGAACAAAGGGCATCGCTACTAGGAGCAAGAAGCTACTAGGGGCGCTCCTGGCATCGCTACCAGGAGCAAAGGGCATCGCTACTAGGAGCAAGGACGCTACTAGGGGCTCCTGACCTTACTACTAGGAGCAAGAAGCTTCTAGGAACAAAGGCATCGCTACTAGGGGCGCTCCTGGCATCGCTACTAGGAGCAAAGGGCATTGCTACTAGGAGCAAAGACGCTACTAGTATGCTAGTAGCTCGAGTTGGTGGACACTATCGCCGAACATTGGATTGCCTTACTGCCTTAGATCAACTGGACTATGCTCCGGTTTGCAAAAGGATCCCAAATCAAGTGGCGTGGGGTTTGCTCCAGCTGTTAGCTTCAAGAAGCTGAGGCCTTTGCACTTTGGGGAGCCACAGTTACCACAACACGCGCCACAGCAGGCGCACAGAGTAGAAGCTTTTTTGAGTCGAACTTTATAAGCTTCTTGTCTTGAATTGGGACCCCAGATTCTACAGATTCCAGCAACCAACTTACAGTTAGACTAGCCCTTGCCCATCTTCCAGCTCACACAACACCCAAACCATCCAACATAAACCATAACAACCCACCAACACAACACAAAACCAGAACAACCCATCAACACAACATAAACCAAAACAATCACCAAACCAACCAAAACATCCAATCCAACCATAGAATCACAACCAGAATGAACACCAACCCAAACAAAATATAACAACCTTCCATCAACATGACTCTTCAACAAGGTTACCAAAAATCTTATTGAACAATCTCACCAGCAGAAACTCCAACAGAATACCAACAGAACTTTATTCAAACAACTTCAAAAGTTCATCTAGATTCTGCAGAATATATTTGGAAATAGAAATATATTATATAGTAATTTAGTATCGAGTGGAACTTGAAAAGGACACAGGACAGAACCGAAGAAGCATTCAATCCCCACAAGAGGTTAATTGGTGTGGATGCCACCAAGATTTACAGCGAGAAAATCGCAAAAACAACGATTTAGTTGCTTACCCCCTCGGTGTCAGAATTCAAAAGACAACTATTGAGCTCCAAGTTGTCGGCAGTACAGAAACTGAGCAGACAATATAGAAGATAGAACTTATGAAGCATTGAGAAGTGTAATAGGAGGAATGGAAGAGGTAGTGCTTAATGATGAAATTTACCCAGCTGTTGAGAATACATTATCCTGGCAAGAGACCCCAAACAGTGTGTTTGAGGTCTAGAGGTGTAGCGGCAGAAAGTCTATATATCTAGACGCATTGGATGGGGTTCGCAACCTGGGAAAGGCCCACAAAGTACTGCACCTGCCACGAAAACTGCACTTCAAGGTCCACAAAGTATTGCACCTGCCACAAAATTTGCAC